TATTACTTGGATCTCGAAGCTTGAGCAGAGGCGTGGCAGAGCCGGCGCATATTGCGCGACGGCGCAGGGCCCCACAAAAATAGGGGTCCCAAAACACTGATGTAAAAAAACAAACATTTGACGTTTGGGAACACAAAAACATCGACTTTTTAATATATTTGGTGTAATACAACTGTACTGCTGATTAATATAATACTGTATTTAATGTTTTGCTATTGTTCCAGCTTTTCAACGCATGTGATTTCCAGCTTTTAACTGTTTTGCATGTGATTTTCAACTTTTCAATTGCTTTGTTTCCAGCTTTTCAATTATAATATTATTTAACAAAGGAAAAAATACATATTTTCTTTTTATTATAAACGCATGTTTCCTTCTTATTATTTCATAGACTTCGATTCTTCGTTCTTAATTCTTAGGTATTTTCCCAAATTCAATCTCTTTACTAATTTCAATTTTGAGAAATTGAATATTCCATTTCCAGGAGAAATTAAAGAGATGGGTATTACTTCTTTTTAATTTAATGGTTCAACCTTTTTTTCTTAGTTGTATTGGTAATTGTAACTAATTAAGTTTTGTGCTTTTTAGTTCTTATTATTGTATATAAATTGCAGATTTGATGATGTTAATTTGAGGAGAGTTGCCGACTGCAAGTTGAACTCAGAACTCTGGTGCTATCTTATCTCACTTTGATTTGTTTTTTATTTGTGTTGTGTTGATTTTGTTCAATATGATTCAAAAATATCAATCTGGATATAAAAAGCGTCAAAAAACTAAAAGAGTAGAACAATTAATTCAGTCTAAAAAATGTGCTTTGGATAAGTTTTTTTTAAAGGATACCCAAGTAGTAGAGGAAAATGATGTTAATTCTCACTCTCAGGAATTAAATGGAACTAATGTTGATGGTGAGAATGTTGAACAAGAGGAAATTGTGGATGGTGTTGTTAATAAGGAGAATGCCAATATTTCCCATAATTCTGAACAAAATATGGACCATAATTTTGATCATACTAACCGCAATGTTGAACAAAATGAATCTGTTTATGTTGAGATATATGATCCAAGAAAATGGGATTCTCTTGGGTCTAAATTAATTGATATTTTGGTTGTAAATGGCCCCAAAAGAGACTTGAGCATTGTGAAAGGCCCCAAAGACAAATTTTCTTGTAGATTTTCTTCAACCTTTTATACAAGATATTTGTTGAATGGTGAAACTTGTGATAGGGAATGGCTTGTTTATTCGAAAGAGCTCGACAAAGTGTTTTGTTTTTGTTGTAAGATTTTTAAAAAGGGTCCTGGTCTTGGGAAAGGTAATTTAATAAATGAAGGATATAATAATTGGATGCATCTTAGTACTAGACTTACAGAACATGAAACAAGTATTGACCATGTACTAAACATGGCAACTTGGTGTGAACTTAGGCATAGGCTGCAACAAAATGAAACAATTGATAAAGTTGCTCAAGAACAATTCAAGAAAGAAAAAGAGTATTTGAAAAATGTTATTATTAGAATTATTGTTATTGTGAAGTATCTTGCTAAAAATAACCTAGCATTTCGGGGGGAAAATGGAAGATTATATCAAAAGAGCAATGGAAATTTTTTGGGTTTGATAGAAATGTTGGCTGAGTTTGATCCTGTAATGATCGAACATGTTCAGCGTATTACTAGTGGTAAGATTCATCACCATTATCTGAGTAATGACATTCAAAACGAGTTGATACTTTTGCTTTCCTCCAAGATTAGATCTATTATTATCAATAGAATAAAAGAATCTAGATATTTTTCTGTGACGTTGGATTGCACACCAGATGCTAGTCACCAGGAACAAATGACTCTAATTATAAGGTGTGTTGATGGCTCTTCTAATACTTTTAAAATTGAAGAATTTTTTATCGAGTTCTTACAAGTTAATGATACAACTGGCCAAGGGCTTTTTAAAGTGTTAGAAGATGTGCTTAAATCTCATGATCTTGATATAGATAATATTAGAGGTCAAGGATATGATAATGGGTCTAATATGAAAGGTAAACATCAAGGTGTACAAAAAACACTATTAGATTTGAATCCTAGAGCTTTTTATACTCCATGTGGTTGTCATAGTCTTAATTTGGTTTTGTGTGACATTGCAAACACTTCAAATAAAGCAAGGGATTTTTTTGGATTAGTTCAACGCATATATATTATATTTGCTAGTTCAGCAAAGAGGTGGGATATTTTAAAACATTATGTGAAAGAGTATACTCCCAAATCACTGTCAGCCACACGTTGGGAAAGTCGAATTGATAATATCAAAGCAATAAGATTTCAAATTGTTGAATTAAGGGAAGCCTTACTTGAAGTAGCTACTGTTGTTATTGATTCTAAAACTAAGAGTGAAGCAAAATCTTTAGCAACTAATGAGCTTGGTAGTTTTGAGTTTTTACTATCTACAATCATTTGGTATGACATTTTATCTGTTGTGAACAAGGTTAGCAAATATCTATAGTCAGAAAATATGGTGATTGATATTGCTATGTGTGAGATAAAAGGATTGATTTCCTTTTTCAGAAATTATAGAGATGTTGGATTTTCAAATGCCATGGACCTTGCAAAAAAATTAGCCATTGAAATTGGAGTCAACTCTATCTTTCCTCAAAGGCGTATAATACGTAAAAAAAGACAATTTGATGAGGTTGATAGTGAGGAGACATCATTATCTCCAGATGAATCATTTAGAATTCAATATTTTATCTACATTGTTGATCAAGGTATTTCATCATTGAAAAAGAGGTTTGAACAATATGAATTATATGAGAGTGTTTTTGGATTTTTGTTTACTTCTGAAAATTTGCAATCAATGGATGACATTAAACTCCAATCATGTTGTAGTCACTTTGAAAATGCTCTTAGGAGAGGTGAGTTTTCTGATTGTCATGGAAATGATCTTTTTACTGAGTTAAAATTGCTTAGAGAGATGTTACCTAAGGAAATGATGGGATCAATGGATATATTAAGGTTCTTGAAATGCTTCAATTGCTTTCCAAATGTCACAATTGCATACATAATTTTATTGACTATACCTGTTACTGTTGCTTCTGCAGAGAGGAGTTTTTCAAAGCTAAAGTTGCTCAAGTCATACTTAAGGACAACCATGATGCAAGAAAGACTAAATGGACTTGCTTTAATATCTATTGAGAGTGAAATTTTGGAAGACGTTGATATTGAAACTTTTATAGATGATTTTGTTTTAAAGAATGTAACACGAGTATCACGTTTTAAGTGAATTTGTAACTTGTATTTTTTTATGGATGTGATGTAACTGATGATTTGAAATTACTATTTAAGTGAATTTTTTTAAGTTAATGAAATTAGTCATTTATTATTTTAGAAAAATAATTTCTATATCTAAGGGCCCCTTTACAAAAATTTGCTCAGGGCCTCCAACAACCTAGCCACGGCCCTGAGCTTGAGTTTATTAAAATCCTTGTTAGAGCATTTCATAGCATACCATTGAGATATTATGGTTGAATCTTTTCAGAATCTGCATGTAGATGCTTATATTTTAGACTTTAGTGTATCTTTGATAAGCATCAAGGTTTTGGAGAAGTAAAACTGACGATGCTTATATTTTAGACTTTCAGTACTAAACACGTGTTATCTCTCTCTCTCTCTGACCTGTTGCTTATTCTAAACTGTGGCATACCTTTTTATCTGTTCTTTCATGTTCTTCGCTTGAGATGTGTATATGTTGTCTCAATGTAGGAGGGAAGAAACGGAAATAGCAACTTGATCCTAATCAAGCAACAGCAGGTTTGAATCCAGGTTATGCGGATGCTTACGGTGCAACACCTCTTGTAAGTGATATGAATATAGTGTCTTATTATGGATTGACCACGTTTCTCTCTCTATATGAACCCTGGTTGAAATTAACTTTTATTATTCTGTTAGTATGGATTATTTAGAAGGTTATATATTTCAGTCTTTGTCCAAATTTATAATTTTTGAGCTGCTGAATTTGGTTGCTGCAAGAGCATCTTTATTCAACTACATGGGAATTTTCTTTGCTTTGCTGTGTTGAAAACTTATGGCCTATTTGTTTGCTCTGATGAAATCTCGGATGCTAAGTGAACTTGACCATTCTATATCATTATACTCTATGAGACTCGTGATGGTGCACAACATAACAGTTGAAAATTGGATACTTTTGAGTTGCAATCGAATGAAAAACATGGTTATTTGTTTGAAGGTCTAGTTATATTTTTTACTTTGAAATTAGTATCAGTTACATATCAAGAAAAAGGAGAATGTTAAGAGAGTAGATATTTCTCATTACTCTCTCATTTTCCTCCAAAATGCTGCAACTATCACAATTACCCTACCTGGGTGCTAGACCAATTGTTCCAGAAGCTCCCGCGCCACCAAATAACATTATGTTTATTCAGAATCTTCCTCATGATGTAACCACAATGATGCTACAAATGCTCTTCAATCAATACCCTGGTTTAAAGGATGTCAGAATGGTGGAAACAAAACCAGGTATTGCCTTTGTGGAGTATGAAAACGAGATGCAATCAACAGTTGCGATGCAGGAACTACAAGGTTTCAAGATGCAGCAAAACCAGATGATTACTTATGCAAAGAAGTAGACGGAAAGCCCGAAATAGTCCTCTTCTCTTGCATCCAACTTGAGAAGAAGGCAATGTGTATGGACCATGGATGATGGTCAATTAGATAGCAATTGCCATTTAGTCTAATAGTCGTTTTGTGGCATATTCTCTTTAACTAGAGCTTCAGGATTGTTACTATAGATTGTTTACCGGATGTTTATGTTTTAATCTATGAATTATTATTAAATTCTATATATTTTAACATTTGTTGCAGATACTAATCAGGTTACGTAAGTATGAATCAAATGACTAAATTTAATATATAAAGAGATTGTATTAATTGTACTTTCTTCAGTTACACAAGCAGCATATATAATGCAACTGTCACTACCAAGCAATAACACAACTGGTTGTGAAGCTAGACCCTAGGTTGGATCAATCTCAAACGAACTATAATCCAAGAGATTAGCATATCATTAATGCTTAATTCTACTCGGCTATACTCTCTCCAGTTCAGTATTGTGTTTAACCAGTTGGTCACTCAAATCCTTTCTCCATCCTTGAATCAGTCTCTCCTGATTCTTGATGATCTCGGACTTCATTTTCAATTCTTCTTCCACTGTTGCAATCTCCTGTTAGAACAAGAAACAAGTCAAATTGGGCTTCTTTGGAGTGTCTTAATCATACACCGCAATCATCTACAATAAAAGTTGATGGGTTTACTTTTATGAGCATTTCAACTTTGGTTGGTTGATCCTCACGTTGCAAGCCAATGAAGTATAACTGAAGCTTCTTGGCAGCCTCCATGAAATCTCTAGCATGCCTCTCCACATCAACTATGGCAATTGCAAATAAAAACACCATTTTAGAACACAAGAATTTGATCCAAAAAGCTTATATTAACTAAATTTATATGAACTTTTCTGGGTACTACGTTAGTAAGTTAATGCATTCATTAAAGTACATCTGTTTGATTCTGAACAGTGATAAAATATGGAACCAAGCATCAAAATAAAATATCGTCAATAACTGGTATTGAATTTAGATTGTTGAAATATCCTTGGAAAGTTACACTAAAGCTTCCTTAATACATCTAATTATGCCTTCCAACATTTACAATTTCTACATTTTTGGTGCCTTGTATCAGAGTAAACTATTCCAAATGCAGTTAGAAGCAGCCATTTTTATTTATTTCAGCCGGGTAGTAGTGCTTGCACGTAGGTCATGAAGAATTCCAGCTATCGATGCATCAGGTATGGAATCCTCTCGGAAAGTTTCCAAGTGTCTTGTATAAGACCTGCTAATGAAATTCTTGTATATGACAGAGAAAAAGGTTTTGGGTTTCTAATTCAGGTTTTTGGGAGGAAAAGTGTCTTTTCACTTTCTGTCTGATCCGTTGACATTAAATGATGATGATGTAACACAACGACGACTGTAGATTAAATATTTTTTTTCTTATGTTGTAGATCAGGCTTTAAATTCAATACTGAAAATCTCATTAATTTCCAGAAACCATTGACTGAAAAAAGTTTTCTTGAAAACTATATTAGCAACGTTAACGGCAAAGAAACGTTAATGGTGAGTTAATAGTCAAATTTTCTTGTCAAGAAATAATTGGTGAGGAGTAAAAAGACGTCAAGAGGGGAAAGAGGAAACATATTCCTTTCGTCGGTGCTCATGAATGATTCCATCCGGGGCCAGGTTATCAGCCAATGCTTAGCCTCGAAAAGCACATGCAAGTTCCTTGATTGCTACGCCGGTGCAAACAAGTGTGACACACCAGTTGAAGTAATCAAAGTGTTTCAGAATTCAATCTTCTGCTTACAGCCCTTACTCTGCGTTTGATGTTCGATTCGATTATGGTGAGTTGTTAGGGGTGCACAAAAAATCCGAATATTCGATTTTGCGAAAAAAATATCCGAAACTGGATTTGGGAAAAACCGGTTTTTTTTAATCGGATCGGATTTTTTTTAAACCAGTTATTTTAACCGGTTTGGAGAAAAAAACCTAGACCGGTTTTTTTACCGGATAAAAAACCGGTTTGAAAAAAGCCGGTTAAAAAACCAGTTTTTATCCGGAAAAAAAACCGGTCTGGGTTTAAAAAACTAGCCGTTAATATAGCCGTTGGGGGGTTTTGTGACCGTTTTTGACCGTTTTTTTTCTTTAAAAAATTACCATTTTACCACCCTAAACATGTATAAATAGGTTGGGGATGTATTTGGTTGATTACAAATTTCTCAAATCTTATTACACAACACTTAAACATCTCTCAAATCTTACTTTTGTAATTTTTTGTTCATCATGAGTAACACGGCTGAATCTTCCGTCGGGGGAAACCTTAAAGTCGTGAGAGTGATCGAACACACTCGAAACAAAGACATTTGGGATCACTACGATTTATGTGAGATGTCAAATGGCTCGAGGAGGGCGCGTTGTAAACTTTGTCTAAAGTTTCTTGCATCGGAAGGAAACACAACGTTGAAGAACCATTTGACAAAATCATGCAAGGCACTTCGCTCAAGATCGGATCCTAGTCAATCGAATCTTACACCGCAAGGTGGTGTTTTTGTTTACGACAACGAAAAATTACGAGAAGCGTTTACAAAGTTCGTGATTACAAAAGCATTGCCGTTCGACCACTTTGATGATGAAGATTTCACGATAACAATTCATCAACTAATGCAACCACGCTATACTCAAGTAAGTCGTACTACCCTTAGAAGAGATGCTATAAAAATGTGGCGTACAGCGAGGGGAAAAATGATTTTAGGATTCCAAGAACACCGTTATGGTGTGTCGCTTACATGTGACGTTTGGAGTTCCCCTCATAATACCAGAAATTCTTTTTTAGCCGTTACGTCACATTGGTTAGATCAAGATAATTGGCAAATGATGAAAAGAACAATCGCGTTTGAATTATTCGGTGAGCCACATACCGGTGCTAATTTATTTACACTTTTAAAAAGGGTAATTTGTCTTTATAAATTAGAAAATAAAGTTTTTTCTATATCCTTTGATAATGCATCGAATAATACAAACGCGGTTCCAAGATTGAAAATATTACTTTCACCGATTTTAGACGGTGCGTTTTTTCATACCCGTTGCGTTGCACACATAATTAATTTATCCGTGCAAGCCGGTTTGGAGGTTATTGAGCCGATTAGATTAGAATTTAAAACAATGATAAAATCGGTTCTTTGTAACAACAACAAAAGACTAAATGATTATAAACGATTTTGTAAGTCCGTTAATAAAAAAGCTTTGGGTCCTAATTTGGATTGTCCAACTCGTTGGAACTCAACTTGGATGATGATGCATACTGCCTTAAGGCAAAGGGAAACATTGCAAACATTTCACGATCGGCTTTTCGAGATGGGTCATGTCCCAAACATTTATCCGGATTCGAGTTGGGAAACTATAGCCAAATAACCGATTTGCTTGAGGTTTTTAAAAATGCAACAACTTTTTTATCCGGTGTTTATTACCCTACTAGCCCGTTGGTTCTTAATCAAATATTTTGTTGGCTACCCGACTAAATGACTTTGAATTTGAAACCGAAGTTTTTCAAGAAATTGGCTTTGCAATGAAGGAAAAACTTTTAAAATATTTTAAGGAGATTCCCCCCATTTTTACTTGTGCCGCCGCTTTAAACCCAACGTTAAATGTTGGTGGGGTTGAAACACTAATTGAACAAATTGCGTTTGCTTTTAATCTAACCGATGATGAACCCAACTTTGTCCAAAACCAAATAAATTATTTTAACAAATGTTTTCGAGACATGTTTGCAATTTATTTAACTAAATACGGATCAAGTAGTGTAATACACGATCAAATGAGAATGAATGTGGAATCATCTAGTAGACGTCCAAGTAACATAAATTTGAATCTTTTTAACACTCTTGTAAATTCTCAATCCAAACGATCACGTACTACCACCCCAAGTAGCGAGTTGGGAATTATATGTCATGCGATTTTCTATCAAAAATGACATTTGAAGAGTTTGAAAGTTTGGATATTTTGGCTTGGTGGAAAGAAAAGGAAGAACAATTTCCGATTCTAGCCGCCATGGCCCGTGATTTACTAACCGTCCAAGCTTCTACGGTAGCTTCGGAATCCGCTTTTTCTGTTAGTGGCAGGGTTATATCGCAACGGAGATCAAGACTAAGTCCCGAGTCGGTGGAAGTATGCATTTGTTTAAAGGATTATTTGGATGGAGCGGCTCGTAAGCAACATATCACCACCCTAGAAGATGCAATTGATGCCGATTTGGAAGCAAACTTACACATTGAAGAAGTCGAACTTGGAATATCCCCTCCAAACGAAGAAGGCGAAGATGATGAAGAAGAGATGGCAATGTAGTTTATTTTATAACTTTATTTCAATTATCGTAAACTTTGTTTCAATTATCGAACTTGAAGTTTTTAAGTATTTGAATTTATCGAACTTGGAAGTTTTTAAGTATTTGAATTTATCAACTTGGAAGTATTTAAGTATTTCAATTATGTTGAGTTAATTAAGTATTTCAATTAAGTATTTGAATTTATCGAACTTGAGGTTTGATGCTTTCTCTTTGATTCTCTCTTGATTCTAGTTGCTTGATGTTTCTTGTCTTTGATCAATGGCTTCTAAGCTTGCTTAAATACACCTTGAATCACTTCTGAACGTTAGTGATAATTAATGAAGATAATATAGCCGTTTAAGTGTGAAAACATTTAATAAAAATGCTTGGAGCGTGGGGGAATCGGTACCCTCTCATAGGGAATCGGTTTCCTCTCATAGGGAATCGGTTCCCTAAGTGTAAAATTCAAATATTTCGACCGTTGAATAGGGGGGAATCGGTACCCCCTATGGGGGAATCGGTTCCCTCCGAGCATTCTGGAAATCTCGGAGCCAAACCATTCAGTGAGGAATCGGTACCCTTGGGGGGAATCGGTTCCCTATGAGCAATCTGGAATATTAAAATCGGTTTTTTTATAACCGGTTTTTTAAAAAAATCGGTTTTTTTAAAACCGAAACAGGTTACACCGGTTAGGATATCCGGCCCTCCAAACCGGTTAAAAATCGAACCGGTTATTTTATAAACCGGTTTTTTTTCTATGAGAAAAAACCGGATCGGATAAAAACCGATCCGGATCGGATTGAAATCCGACAAATGTTCATCTCTATGAGTTGCATTCCGATATTATTTCATCTTTATTCCTTATATGCACAATACACATGGTACTTACCCAAAAATTAAACCTGATATTCAATTTACATCCCTGCAAATGACATCAAACATGGCAGAGTGGAGTATCAAGGAGACCCCGTCTTGGTTTTCAGGAGATCGAGTCTTTGCCATTTGAAAAGAAATTGCAATTGTCGGACATACGTAAAAAAAATAAAAATCCAAGCAACACAGGCTAATATGATCATGCAACTTACCGTAATAGCACTTCTCAGAAACCTTTGCTTTATTAAACAGGAATAGACGATCTCAACATATGCTTACAAACCTACAACCAAGCTTGCCATATATCATCAAAAGACCTCTTATTACATCCAACGGAATTTTCGTTCTCTCAAAACAAAGTAGAGATACATTAGTTCCATAACTCATACTGAAGATTAAATCTATGTGGCAGGTTTCCATGAAGACAAGGGAGGAGTATCAGAGTCATGGTAGGTTGTGATAGCTGCGCTATATCGGTCTCCCTTCACCGAATCTGCTGAAGCAATGGATTCCAGCTCCACCATCTCTTCAGGTGTTAATTTTATGGACAAAGCTCGGATGTTCTGGTTGAAGTTTTCGACCTTGGTGGTTCCAGGAATGGGACACACATCGTTCCCTTGGTGATGAACCCAGGCCAATGCAAGCTGTGATG